CATTTATATTTTATAAAAGAACAGTTCAGCAAGCTTTGATGAGTGAAAAGTTAATCCCGTGTTGAGGGTTATGTTCGTCTATATGTGTCAGGGTCTATGTTTAGCCTCGCAGTACAAGGATTAGAGTTATTTTGTGATTTTTCTTTTGGTTACACAACTCCTGTTTGACAGCAGAAATAGTCCAGGGTGGGATTAGAGACGAGTCCCCCTCTTTCTGCCACCCTCCTCCTCATCTGCCTGCCGCGGAGCTCCGATTTCTCTGAACCTACTTTGTGGTCTCACCTGAGCCAGACCCCCCCACCCCCCTCGTCTGTCTGCGGTGACTCAGGTGAACAGCTCAGGTGTTTGAGTCACACATGGCATCACTAATGAGACAAACGCAGCTCACATAGTGAAGATTTTGCTCCAGACGTCACATTTAATTATCTCGGCTTTTGTTTTCCCTTTTTAACCCTCTTGTCTTATTGTCATTGGTTGAGACGGTAATGTAATCAAGACATAAGACTAAACGTCCATGATGGCTTTGCCCTGTTCGTGCCTCAGGGTGACAGGTTTTAATCGACAGTCTGAGGACCATCTCTCTGTTTCAGCTCCATTTCAAAAATAATAGCCACTGAAAGGACCCCCCCCACCCCCCACCCCACACACACACACACAAACTAAAAGCTCAATAAATCGCGCTGCGATACGTCTCGCTCAATCGATCCCACTGAGTGGCCGGATAGCGTTACATTTCTGACCTCAAAACTACACGATCAGCACTGCGTGGCCCCCGTCTGCAGGACTCACCCTCCCCTCAGGCTCTCTGCTCTCCCTAATGAATAAAAACACTTTACAAAAGCTTTGATTTGGACAGAAACAGATTTAATTATTGACTAATATAGACACACCTTTTATATGACACACACGCAGGTGCAGACCCCGCAGAGAAAATGAGCCAAGTTCATACTTGTCAGTCTATTTTCTACTACTAGGGTATGTCTGAGTGTGTGTGTCTGAGTGTGTGTGTCTGAGTGTGTGTGTGTGTGTGTGTGGTTAAATATAGGATGAATCTGCCCATATGCCAGGCATCCACTCACAATCACACAGAGCTCCTCAAACTTTTCAGCTTCTAACCTCCAAAATAAAACTTGTGAGCCTGAGTCTAACTGCTGTAAACCAGGGGATCTCACTGATTGTGTTGCTCCTTTTCTTCATGTTTTTATCACTCGTTTGGTTTCTTTTTTCGTAGTGTGGTCTTTTTTTATCTTTTATCCCTTGTTAGTGTCCTTTAAGTGCTTATTCTTTTCGTGTTCTTGTCTCCTGGCATTCAGAGTGGTCGACAAAGTAACATGTTTTCATCTGTTTATGATAATAAACACTCTGAATCTTGAATCAAGCCATTTGGGTCTGAGGACCCCTTCCTGGGACCCCCTCATAAACCCCAATGCTGTTTTAAAATATAATTTATTGTCATTTCAACCCATTAATGCCATGGGAATATATATTTTATTAAGTTTATTATGTTTGTTTCATTAGTTCATCGCTCTCCACACATTCTTAAAAATAAAAACCAAACTAACAATTTAGTGAAATTTTTTGAGGACCCCCAAGATACCTCTGGTGGACCCCAGTTTAAGAACCTCGGGTCTAAACAGCCTCACTTTACTAATAACCATATTAAACCACGAAAATACATTAAAAACGATTCTATTGCAACAGTTTGTAATGTTTTTTATTTATTCAGGTAAAAATTAAGGTTGAAAACATCCTGTTTGCTTTACATTTTAACAGGGACACTTATTTTATGTTTCCTGACCCACTGTTGGAAACACATCTAACACTGATGCCAAAGATGAAAAGTGGGTTTAAATGGACCCTGAACAGTCCTGCCTCTTCCTTTAGGTTCAACACACACTTGTATGGAACAATACAGATTTTTAACATTTATTTTATCAACTTGTCTTCTGAAGATGCTCTGTGTTGAAGGATCAGTGGATCTGTGTT